TTTTTTGCCTCTGGTCATCGTAAGTCAAGGTGTGCACTCTCAACGTATCATGTATCAGTTACCATCATGTTTTCCTTTCCAAGACCTCAGTGGCTCGTGAGGGAACTGTCACTTGCACACCAACATTACTCCTTCCCATTTCTCATTTAAATTCCTGTTACAATCCAGATTGTCTCTGCTGTCTGTTTCATGCTTTCTGATGTTAATTAGTATGCACATCTTCCTTCCTCAGTTACAGTTTCCTCCTCCTTTTGCATTGGTATCCTTCTTTCACCCTTACCCCTTTGGACTTGCCAACTCATTCTTTTGGCTTATAAATCCTTGTCTTCAGTTTTTTATCGTCTCCTCACACTATATCTATCTTCTCGCCCTATCCCTGGTTGCTCCCTTCCATCGTGTGTTTGTGGAGATCTACCAGGATGGCAGGTGGACCACACTGCACACTTTCTTCACACATTATTTACATTTGACCATTTCTTTCTCCACTGAATACTGATTGCTGCCCTTTGTCATACTATACACCTCAGTTCAACTTTGAGTGGGTGAGTTTTCTTTTCATTTATTTCCATCTCATACAGTGGCCCTATGCTTCATATAGGAGTCTGCTCTGTGGCAAGTGATGACTGGCCAGTTATAATATTCGGCTGGGGAACTCCCATCGTACCACTTCTTAAATGTCTGTTCCCAAGTGGTCTAGTTTTAGATGGGAGCTGTACCAGCAACCAAAATCTGCAAGGTACAGCCTTTGAGGTCTATAATGCCAACCGTTGAGATAGGGTGTTCTGCAAGATTGCTAGTAGGTTCATCATCAAAGTATATTGCATCATAAGTATGCCCATCCAATACCATACCAACTCATGGGGTGTCATAAGTAAAGTAAGGAAGGGATTGCTGTCCGTCCTTCTGTTCCTGGTTTCATACATGGGGTTTGACCTGCTTTTAAAAATAGGGTTCTGCAATCTCTTATTGCACTTTCTCCTCTGTTGTGTTCCTTTGAACTCCCCACCACCCTATTTCCCCCCTATTCTTGTGAAGTACTGGAATTTTTTCCACTTATCAGCTCCTAGCTGCTGAGGTGGTAGACCAGGGAGGCTTCCTTTTGTGTATGTGCTTAATCCCACTCAGTTAAGAGTAGGGTAGTGGTGTTCTGCCTGTATAGATGGTATGCACTCTCCTCCTACCATGGAACCCTCTTTCCTACTGCTGCCTAAATGTTGATTCCTGTTTGCGCTGGTGTTGGTTGGAGCTGGACCAGCCATCCTAAGTCCTCACATGTGTGGTTTTTGTTGGGACCCTCCTCCTATTGTAAACTGAACAATACATTCCCAGTGCCCTTTGGTTTTGGACTGGAGTTGACCCTCCATGTTGCATTCCATCTTCCTACCATTGCTCAGATGTCTGGTACCCAGGTGGTTGATGGTAGTGTAGTGCATTTGCATGTATGCGCTAACCTGGGTTTTATGAATGGAAATCCTCTTTCCCTTCTGATTCCTGGGTCTGAGGTGAAGACAGTAGGGACCCTCCTCCTACTGTGGGCCTGAGGATTCATTCCTGGTGCTGCATGTTTTTGGACTGAAGTTGACCCACCAATCACAGTCTGCCATGCCCTATCCACTCTACACCATCTGGCACATCCAAGTTTCTTTTGGATGTGCTTCTTTATCTACCCATTTAAGGATGTGGCTTCATTCACAATGGGTGAGAAGGATATCTGGTACAGATGTGTTGCACTCTCCGTGAATGTGTTCCTCTACATGGAGATGTCACACTCCATGGGCTCTCTTCAAAGATTTTTCGAAGGGTGCTCATGTAGGTAACTTTGCACTGGTTCCTCCACAATTTCAGTGTGGGATTCTATCTATTATATGAGTGTGAGAAGAGGTAAGTCATTGCATCGAAAGTTAACATTTTCCTACAGTGAAAATGTATTTCCAATACATCCTTTCACACTTCCCATCTATCCTCCCCATTTCTGGTGCTTACTTTTTGCTTAATCTGAAGTGAAAATTGGGTTCTACAGTATAGAAGGAATCAGTTGTGCTAGGAAGGTGTGTCGCACTCCTATTGGTGAAGGGTTATTGCATGCTCATTTACATGCTACAGTGTAGTTGTAACACTTGCAGACACGTAGATGTAGGTGTAAACAGAATGGTAGTGGCAGCGAAAATTTGCACATATAGAGAGCATTAGTTGTCAAGAAAAGTTACTCTGTGAGAGGAGGTAAATATCTATCGGAAATACATTTTCAGTATAGGGAAATGCTAACATCTGAGATCTCCTCTCCTTTTACAATACTAAATGTTCACCAACTTTATTGTTGTGTTCATAGAAAATTCTTTTCAAAGAATGTGACAAAACCAAAACTGTATAATTTATAAGAATTACAGGCTTCAGGGGGTCAACCTTTTTAAAACTTTGAACATGTAAATTTTATTTTTTAAAAGTGTACCTAAAAAGTGCACTGAAATGAGATGTTATCAACAAATTGAGATGTTTTAGAGGGTTTAACTGCAGTTATAGTAACTTCAACATTATTCAGGCAATGTACTGCTTCTCATTGGATAGTGATAAACATTTGTGTACAAGTTATATTAAATTATTTAACTTGAAACTTGTGCAGTTTCACTCAGTTGTCATTGGTAAAAACTAAGCATTAAATTTTAACATCTTTATTTCATATTTTGACTCAAAAAATATTATTAGAAATATATAGTAAACATTACTTTTTTCATAAGAACAGTAAATCTTCCCAATTAATACCCAAACTCCTTTTATACAATTAAAATTAGTTCAAGCTTTCATTCTTGTCACATTTTTGTTTTTAACTCTTCTACAAGAGTTCTACGGAGTACATTGTTTATAAATGAAACTGAATTCCAAACAGTACAAGGCATATTTACACATATTCTCTACTTTAGCAACTTTTTGTCTACTTGTTATTATATCACTTACCTTTGTTGGTAGCTAGATTGCTCCTAAAATACTAAGTGGATTCTTCTTTTACTTTATGAAGGGTCTTTTCATCTTTTTAGACATGATTTTATTTATACTAGAAAGGCTGTTCTCTTATAACTTTGACAACTCGGTATTTGAAGCATTAAATCAATCTTTAGGAATACTGGGCTGTTCACTTTGGTTACTGAAGTTCCTCCCTTATCAGAGAAATTCTCTACTCAATGAAATGTATATTAGATGGAAGCCTCAAATGTCATAGTATTTCAGGTCTATTTCCTTCAATAATGATTTTTATTTTTTAGAATGTAATTTTCCTAGCATTTGAAGTGTGTTGTCTAACCAAGTTATTCGAATGAGCAAGGATTTGCCTCTTTAATTGTTACTTAATTTTTAGAGATGCGACTCTACTTTCTTTGTAAAAGTGAATTCTGTCTGAGGTCCGGCTCATGTTGCTAAGTTTTTTTTAGATTACTATCCCTGGGACTTTCGTCACCTCCAACAACTAGGTCTGGGTCTTTTTGATAATTTTCTTAAGAATTAATTGGTGATTATTCTCATAACTTTGGTAATTTGTAATCAGTACTAGGACTTGTTTAATGCTCATACTCAATACTGGTACTTATTTGATTTGTTTTTCATTCAACCCACATGTCTTCCATTGTACTGTCAGAGAAGCAAACATGACTCACAGAATCTAAACAATCAATTAAAATTCTTCAACTGAATCAGTAAATAACCTGATGGCTTTAATCCTTGTTGGCAAGAAGATCATGAGGAAAAGTTATTTAGCAGCTTTGATATCAATCATTATTAAATTAATCAGGTTGTCTTATCTGGCTATGTGATTTATATGATGAGCCAATCCAAATGATACATTTTATTGGCTGATTGGTACCTGATATTAGTGCATTTAATGTCTTTTTGTCATTCACAAGAATCGGAAGAATAAAAAAAACATTTGAGGTAAGCTCACAGTTATGAAGTTTTAATATAGTTGTGTGTTTAATATATATGTGTTTATTTATAACCATCAAATCAATGGTTTTGTGTATTTTCTTTTGTTTTTAGTAAATTGTATTATAAATTACATGTATGAGCAAAATCTATTGTTGTATGCATGTATGAGTATGGCAAGTATAATGTTTTCCCACACTCTATCCTTCATGCTCTTCTATCTTTATAACTTGAACATTTTAACCATGAAAGGGTATAAAAGATACATATTTCAAATTAATGTTTCTGCATAGAAATTAGATTTAGAGATTTACTTGTACTTACTTTTTGCATCTCACATACTTGCCTATGTCCGCTACTTATGAAATTACTGGAGGAAATGCTGGTAACAGTGTAATGTGAGTCTGACTTAGCTGAGCAGAACAATATGGGAAATACAAATGGGAGCCATATGAGTGTTCAAATGAATTGCCATTTGCTATGAAATATTTAAATATTTGTAATTAAAAAATGTCAGCTAAATATACTTTAATATTAAACAATTTCAAAACCACAAGATTTATTGTCATAGCTTTTGGGGAATAATTTTTGTTTCCCCTGGTTAGGCATTATATTATAGGTATTATAGGTATTTGTTTAATGATAAGACCCAATAAAAATTTATATATATATATTTACATTTTTTAATTTAAAAAGAATTATGCTTGAAAAAATGAAATGGATGAAGTTTCATAAAATGATAATGGTTTTAAAAATAAATTAGAAAAACTCTTATCTTACTCTTTAAAAAACACCACCAAAAATAAAATAAAAATACTATTATATTTTTCCTGCCTAGGAATAAATTTGCTAAAATCTGGTTGCTTCCATAAAGTTCTTATATATGCTATTTTCAGGAATTTGAGCTGAAAATATATGCAACAATTTCTTTATTCATAGATTTGATCTACTTTAAAATATTTAACACAAATGTATACATGCACACAAATCCAAAATTTTACAAAAAGATCAGTTATGATGTTTTGTAGAATAATTCTCATCCCAATGAAAAACATTAACACTTAACTTTAATCAACTTTTTATTTACTTACTGGGATGCACCTGTAGTACTGGCGTTCTATTCTTCTTTCTTGTGGTGCCAGGGTGACGTTGAAGTTGAGACGGTCATAGTAGTGTTCCTTTGGACAGTGGCAGTGTACCTCTACATTGTGGCTGATGATTTGTGCTGAATCTCTTACTCTCTCAGTCACCAATGCCAAGCTATTTTCTGTACAGTTGTCTTGTTCACCCACTTTCCCACAAAACTGTTTGAGTAACAAAGACTAGTATATATATATATATATATATAGAAAGATTCCTTAAAAAAAATTTTGAAACCTTCGACAAGAAATTTGACATTCCACATAATTAAAACTTAAGTTTTTTAAAAACATTGCACTTTTTTATGCCTTCACTTTTTAATACAAAAGATACAAGCATTAAACTTTCCTATCAAATGGCTAACATGGATATATTTTATACCAAATTGTGTTCTTGCTCTCCATAGAATTTTTATAGAGAATAATTGAACTACTAGTCATTAAAGAAATTGTAAAACTTTTTTTGGCAGCAATAGTTTACTTATGATATTAACAGTATTAAATGTGGGTTCATAAATTACCCATCTTGGTAATTAAAGGGTTAAGCTCTTCTAATTCATTTCTACATTTTTGTTTATCATCATTAACATAGATTAAAATTTTGAAGAATAATCTTTTTTTTGTATTTCAAGTTAGTGTATATGTATAATGTACTCTAAACAATATATTAAATAAATATATTTTTTAATGGGAAATACTTGTGACATCCAGATATATATATGTTAGGATTTTTGTTATTTTTAACAAATATCAATTGTAAAGTTTTGTTTATATTATGAAGACAAGTTAAAATGTGACATGTACATATACAACAGCTGTTATAGTTATCACTATAAATAAAAGTCTTCAGAGTACAGTTTGAGGTATGAACAAGGGTCGGAAAGTAGTGTGTATGAAATCTGAATTAACCATGTTATTGTTTGCTAGTCATGTTTTGTTTATAGTGGTGGCAGTTTATGGAATTCTACAGAATGCTGATTCAGTAACATTTTCTTGCTTTGTTTACTGATTGAAAATGTTCAGTTATGTCTCATTCTTCTGTTAGGGAACTTGAATACTTCATACTGTTTGATACAATTATGTGATTGTATAAGTAACTTTCTGTTAAAGGTATTATTACAACCATGGAGAGAAACAACCTTCCAACATCATTTGAGAAGAGAGTTCTGTTTATGATTTGAGAGTGTTCAAACTTGCTAAGAAGTTGTCTGAGCATTTCTGTGTCTGCTGATAATGTGCTATTTTATCTTCAACAAAGCCATTACATATGTTACTGATTTAAATACAGTTGATTTCATTTTATTTTAGGTAATTATCTTCTATACTTTGCAATGGTCTGAACACTGGTCAACTGGCCTCATGCCTTAGTATTTTTATAGTGAAATGTAGTTGTTTACCTGTATTCTGACTTCAGCATCATATCCTGTCTCTCTCATTTTACATGTTACACCTCACCATACCTGTTCTTCTTCCATGTGCTAGATCCTCAAACATCGAGTTTTTATGGAGATCAGATAGTTTGGCTTAATCTTGAAAATACCACAGAACTTAAAATGTATTATCCATTCATACCTTCAGTTGGGCCCTTCTATTTACATGCACAGTTTGGTCATCACCTTCACTCCATGCTGTTGGGCACTCTGACCTATCAGGGCATTTACAGAGCCGAATAGCCAATGGTGAGAGCCAGAACCGTTTATGCAACACATTACATGCTCTGTTGGGATTTTCACACACGGGAAGGTTTCTTTCAGATGTTGCCTGGACATGTTATAAACAAAAAATATATTTTAAATACACACGTTTTTAAGAGTGTTACGTGTATACCATATATTTATGCTATCAGTATATTATTGTGAAGAATACTTAATAATCTTCATGTACTAAAATTGTGCTTGAGTTTTATTTGGATGCTTAGTTAGATTTCTGTCTTTCTATTTCTGAGTTCTAAAGTTGTTTCATCAAAATATTAGAAATATTAAGTTCTAAGCTGGAATTCTTTATTTGAAGAATCCTCCAAACTGTGTTTAAACTTTTTTACATATTTTATCTGACCAAATATGCTTGTGCTCAATCATTTCACTTGTCTTTGAATTCTTGTCATAAAAAAATTATAAAGTATGTAGAACTAAGGCTTATGCATGAATGTATACTTTTTAATAGTGAGGAACATCTACTTTGCCTTCTCCCAAGAAGTTGTATATATAATATCTCTAGTCAGCAATTTCTTATTGAATTAACATTGTTATTACAAGGTAAGACCTTTTTAAAGTTTTTACAAACTTTATAACTTAACGTAACAAAATAACAAAGGACCTGTTGACCCATCTATGCTTTCCCATCCACTAAAATATGCTATTGAAAAAAGGTAAACAAAGAAAAAACTCAAAGCCAGCCTTTATCAGTTAAATATTTATGAAGCCTTCCCTTAAATTTACAGCTTCAACTACATCTAAAAGCAAACTATTTCAAAGGCCAGCTGCACTGTTACTAAAATAAAACTTTCTTAACTGAAGATAATTGCTACCTTGCCAAAATTTATCTGTGTCCCCTGGTCTTACCATTAAGCATGAAAACATATGTTGCATGAACACTGATTCCCTTAACAATCATAAAAACACCTCAATCAGATCCTCTCTAAATCATCTTTTTTCAAGAAAAGGTAATTCTTGAGATATTAACCATCCCTGGTATCATTCTAATATTCCTCCTCAGAACCCTTTCCAATAATTCAATGGTAAGGACCTCAAGACTGAATTCAATACTCCAACTGTGTTCTAAACAGTGATGTATAAAATAACATTATAACCTTTTTGTATTACTTGACTTGTTCAAGTGGTTAAACTCTTTAAGAGGAAGCAGTAGGTACTTAGTGGATTAAGCTAACAATCCAAATAATTTCTCTAATGAAAGTGCAATAATAAAAAATAAAAATAAAAACTATTAAGATTAGATATATTTTACAGTCTAACCAATACTGTTACTGGAAGTAACGATAAAGAAATAATATATTTGTACCTTACATAGGGAACACACAACACTAGCTCTTGGCTCGAACTATTGTCGTAGAAGAATTTCTTTCAAAAATGAAACATCAATATAGCATGCTTGAATTTTTTCCCAAATCTCTCTAATATGTCTTTTGACCAATGCAAACCCATTAAAAAACTCCTAAGGTGTAACTTTAGAAGAGCATGACATTTGCAACAAATTTATGACAACACATGTTACTGTTTACACTGTGTTGACTCAAGTAGCAGAAATTTATCAATAGTATGAGCAGAAACTAATGCTTATGAGGATACAAAATACTGTATAAGAAATTAAAATAATGCATGAATCATCCATGAAAATATCACAAATTGAAGACTGATTGCTACATGTTTATTTGGCTAGTTATGAAATTGTCTAGTGTGAAGTATTCAGTGTAGGCTTAAGCAGTCTATAATGTATATATAGAAATTATTGCCATCAAATGTTATTTAGTAATAATTATAGAGGTAATGTTGTTACTTTTTGGGTACATTAGTCAAAAAATGAAGTTCAAATATTAGGATTTATGTTACAAGTTTCAAAACCTGTCAGTCATCTATGTGATGTTATAAAAACATACATACATATATCCATAGTACTGTGTTTAGCCATGTGATTAATGATTTCGAGACACGTGTGGTGTTATAAAAATGTGTGTGTGTATAATTCATAGCACTGTCTTTAGCCTTGTGTGATATGATTTTGAGACATAAAAATATACATCCATAGTACAGTCTTTAGCCATGAGTGACTTGATTCCAAGACACATGGTGTTATAAAAATGTACATGTACACATACATAGTAGTGTCTTTATTCATGTGACATGATTCAGACACATGTATGGTGTTATAAAAATATTTTTGCATACTTCCACTGTACTGTCTTTAACCATGTGTGACACAATTTAATGTCTAAACCATGGAAAAATTTACTATAGATAATATAACTTAATGTGGACCCTTTTTATATCTAATAATTGTAGAAATATTTCTGTTTATTAGTTGCACCATTTTTTTTATTTTTGTCTTGTGTGTTCTTGGAAAAGAAACTTTTTGTGTAGCACCTTATCTAAAATGTACTTTAAGCAGCCATAAATATGTTAAAAATGCTGCTTGTATACAGTACTAAAACACCCCAGTAATATAATATTAAATGATCAGTATATTGAAATGAGAAAGCTCTATAGACTTAAAACATACAGTTAAACTTCTCTACTCAAAGATTTATTCTATGTTTAAACATGATGAATGTTGTCTATTTACTGTTATGAACATTTTACATTGTAATGTGTTACATACATCCGTACCTCTTAAACATTGATAAAAGTTGTTTCCTACTTGCTTATATGTGAATTACTGTAAGATTTGACGACTTTTCTTTTCAAAAGTTAGATTTAAATGAAATAAAATGTTCTTTTCTCATAACCTACATTTTCTTATGTATTTCAGTAAATGGGATGATTTTGGGATAAAATATTTTAATTTAATTATGTAACAGGGGAGTTGAAAAGAGTAACATGAAATGCCCTGTATGTGTTGTGTAGTTACATTCATATTCTAAAGGTTAAACGTTATTTTAAGAATTTATAAGTGAAATTACATGAATAGTAATACCTTTTCAACTTATATCATGAAATGCTTCTTTGTATATTTATTTGAGGCCAAGAGTTACAAGTATCAAAACTTTTGGTGTTATGGTCAGGTAAATTGATTTTTCTACCTAAACCATGTATTTTTCATATCACATGTATTACAGGATCTGATAATTTGATAATTCAGAACAACAGTTATTCTTTACCTTGTATACCTTATACAACGTGTGATAGTTTGGGAGTTTAAAAGTTGAAATGTTTGGGATTACACTTACAATTCAGTCAACTGAAAAGTTTACATTATTGACACTGACATAGATATTTTTTTGACATTTCCAAAATGTCTGATATAGGGGAGAAAACATTTAGGGATTTTAGTTTCTCAAGTGTTTCATGTAATTTAAGAGATAATGATTTAATAATAACAAGAACCTGGATTCATAAAATAGAGGCACAGAGTAGCTTCAGAAACATCAAATAGCAGATCCTGCACATTTACGTAACAGCAGGGATCTCTCTTTTAATATTTTCCTTAAATATTCCAAACACTAGGATAATTACATACCATAAGAACTTTGCTTACAACTTTTGCTTAGTGATTTTATTAGTGTTTGTAACATTTAAATCAATATTGAAATACTTGATTAGAGGTGTTGTAAATGTAACTAGTTAAAAAGGCTGTTAATGATATAACGAAAAATCGTTTGTAGAATGTTTTATTGTTTCATGGTAGTTTTAAAATATATGTCATGTAATTTTCTCATTTTTAGTTTTAGTATTTATTAAATAATTAAAGTTACATGTATTTACTTGTTGCAATTATTCTGATTGAAGTGGTGGACAGTTTAACTTGTGGATTTAGTGATTTTTACTTGATAACGAAGAACCCACTTTTTAGAAAATAAAAGTTTTGAGTAATGAAAACATTTCAACAAGATTTTGTCATCCTTGGGTACTTTTCCTTTCAAAAGATGAAAATAATTGAAATAAAATGTGCTATTTTCTCATAACCTACATTCTCTTTTGCATTTCAGTAAATAGGATAATTTTGTGATAAAATATTTTAATCGTGATCTTTCTAATACTCATTATTTCTTTCCCCCCATTTATGTTTTAAGTATTGTGGTTGATTTTATACGCTAATCATTGACAAATCTGATGTTGTAGAATCAACTAAATATATGTAAACAGTAAGTAAACTTTAAAAGTGTTGAAAATTAGAAAATGTTACTATTTATTTTATTTTCAACTTGTTTTAATCAGTCCTAAGATTAAAAGTAGTGTAATTTTAGGTTTTAGTTTTCTTAAAACCTTCTTTTAAATAAAAAAGTTCTGATTTTGTTTTCTCCCAACTGTACAAGTAGTACTTAAAGAATTAAACTAGCCAAGGTACTGTACACTTTACACATCTTTGTTTTGATCTTTTATCTTACATTATACACTGTTATGTCTTAAGTCCATTTATTAATGTGTTTTCTCTTTGTTATGAATAAATTGTTTGCCAAAAATTGAAAAAAAGAAGTTAAAATGGTTGATTTTCATTTGTGAATAATATAAATTATTTGAAATTGGTTAAAATAAACTCTTTAATGGCAATGGTTATTTTAGTCAGTTTATGCTACGAAATCTTCATAGGATTAACTTACCCCATTTCCATAGCTTACATAAGACTCCTGGTTGGGTGTTCCTCTCACTAGGCAGAAAATAAAACCAGTCAGAATAACAAAATCTGTATAAGGTTTCATTTGAAACTGTTGAAATATAACTTGTATAAAATGGCTGCTTACTGTTTGTTTAGAGTGGACTGAGCTATTATTTCAGTATCTTGGGTGGGAGGAAGAGGTGGGTGAGAATCTAGAGTGCTCTCTGTAATTCTGTTGAAATAAACCAGATGTACAGTATACGTGTGTAGGGAGTAAAGGTCCTTTAATTATGTAGGAAGCCTTTCATGTACAGTATATGTAGAGTAATGCATGGGTGATTGTAAAACATACTAAGAACTGTCACAGGAAAGTGTTTGTATCCATATCTATTTGTCATAATAACCAGTACATGAACTTTTAGGTCAAGCTGAAGACTTGTGTTATGTACAAGATCAATATTAAGCAAACTGTGACACATGAGTATACAAAGTTTGTTTCAAAAAATAAATTGTTATTGAAGTATAAGTTTTTTGGATTGTGATGTTTTTCACGTGCATTACAGAGGTAATTAAAACATAAGTTGTCCTTTCAGATACATGTTGTTTATGAAAGTACGAGTTCTAATGTTGAAATATACAATAATATTTTAGGCAAAATTTGTGATTCACTTATAAATAAAAAAAGGCCTTATAAAAGAAAAAGAAACAGAATTTCTATCTATAAATATTCATTCTAAATTATTAATGTGGTAAAAGTAATAATATTCAGTTTTTGAAGTGGCTTGTTATTATACTTCATACATAATTTGTTTTCTCATTTGAACAACGAAAGTGCATGTTTCACAGTACTGTAGTTGAAACTACATCCTTAGGTCTGTTTACAACATCTTTATGAGATACATGATTTTCACGATTATGCTAATGCAAATGATAATCATCACTTTGAGGCATTTGGTCTTAATGGAAACAAATTGTCAGTTTTTAGGAAATGTTTTGTTCAAATGCTGGTATAAAAAAGCTATTTCTAAATTATTCAGAATGTTTAGAAATAATTATGGAACGAAATGCTATTGTGTTAAATAAGTCTGCAAAGCAAAGTTATTTGTCATAGTGTGAGATATGAAATTTGAAGTTTGAGTGAATTACTTTAAACTGATTTGATTGAGTTAAAATTCAATATGAATTAAATTTTAGATAACTATCAAACACCCTTTTTTTGAGCCTGTGAGAGTGATTTACCTAAATTTTTTGACCAATGTATTGAAATGTAGTTAATGTGAGTACGTTTGTTTTTTATACAGACAAAAAAACAATTGATTATCAGTTCTTGAAATTAGCAGTGGGTAGTTGGCATAAAGCCAGTGGGTTCTAGTGTTTAGTTATAGATCATCAAGGTATCAGGGCTTTAAATTAGCTGTGGATAGTTGGCATAAAGCCAGTGGGTTCTAGTGTTTGGTTATGGATCATCAAGGTACCAGGGCTTGAAATTAGCTGTGGCTAGCTGGAATAAAGCCAGTGTTTTCTAGATTTTAGTCAGAAATAATCTAGGAAAACTGTCATTTTTTTGTTAGTTGATAATCAAGGCAAGATTATGAATATTCATATCAATTATAAAGAACAGTCAAAATTCATAAACAAAAGTTGGCTACAAGCACAACATTTATAGAAAAACCATACATGGAAAATTGATCAAAAAGCCTTTTCTGGTACTTTGTTCTGTATCATTCTAGTAGATTTTTATTTGAATTCTAAAGCTTGAAATAACAAGCAAAAACAGTGTGTTGGTGCAGTGTTTCAGTTTCTTTATTATACTTCTTTTTTTTTTCATATTAGGAAATGTAATTATTATCACAAATATAGATGTTAAAATTTAATAGTATATTCAAATATACAGAACTGAAAATGTGATGTTTTCTGGAAACTTGCATCAGGTTACCAGTTATACCTGCTAAGGGCATGCAACTCATGAATTGTATATCTCACTTTTTGTTTTTGTAAAACTATTGTGGCTGGCCCTTTTGTGAGTAAGTAACTTTGAAAGTAACTTGTAAACCTTTGCCAGTGACCAAAAAATTATCTTCAAACCTTGATTTATACTTAGTTTTACTCAATATTATTACAGAATTATTACTATGGAATTAAATTCCTGATGATGTTGCACATGACTCTCATTGGCTTTTTAAACACAATTTTCTTAAACTATTTGTGTACCGTATTGCTTGTGGGTTTGTTACTTTCCTGGTTGCAGGGAATGTAATATACGAGTCACATAAAAGTATGTAATCAAAGATACAAGCAATATTGCAATGAATCCCATTGGGCAAAGTCTCTCCTTTTCTATGAATTTTTGCATGCAAAGTCAGTGATTTCACATATTTTTCCTAGCAAGTTTTTTTTTTTTTACATTAAGTGTTATAACAGGTAAAAACATAAAAAATCAAGTGACACATATTGAGTTCACTGCCAGTAAGGCATGATAAAAAGACAAATTAATAGTTTGAGGGTTAAGCTAAAGATGTGCTATTGTGAAAAAATATTTAGTAACTTTTTTTTAATGTCACAGAGTAAATATAATGACACCTGTTAAAATTTCCATTTTATTCTTCACAACTGAATATTTGGAATTTTAACTATTTTATTCTGTTTACGTAACATATTATAAAATATTGTTTAGAAAAAAAGAATTATAAAGAGAATGTGACTACATAATTCTGGAAAGTTCAGTGATAGAATAATTGTGTAACACACTTTGGACTACCTGCTAGGAAAGTATTGAATAATAGGAAGTCGTTTTTTCTTTTTAGGTAATGGAAGCAACCAAAGCCATGATGCGCTGCCACCTATGGGAGAAACTGAAAATAACACTGGATAATGAGGCCTACATTTTGCCTAAACAGTGGTTAACCCCTCTTTGTCAACAGGCTATAAAAGAAGCTATAGAGAGTCAGATGTTATGGGAAGTATAACTGAACACATTGAAGATTTCCTTAACCTGTTTTGTGCATAGTTTTCATTAAAGGCCATCATAATTTAATGTTTTTGTTTGAACATTAGTTTCTCATTGCTGATAATATAAAAGAATTGTAAAGATTACCATACTTACAATAATAGCAATTATCTATAGTCCAAAAACTGGTGTTTTTTCAAGTCTCCAAGTCATACAAGAATGAAGCCGTTATAAGCACTTTGAACCTGTAATATTCATGAAGATCTCGGAGTATGTTTCTCTGGAAAGCTTCTAGGTGCTCTAAAATGAAATTGTGGTCTTCACCTTTTTTATCCCAATTTGATATTTATACTGAATTTTTGAACCTTAAAATCAAAACAGTAAAGCAAAAACATTTTATCATATAATAGATATGATCAAAACTCTCAGTTCTCCTTTCCTAGCTGTTGGCTTTAAACTAATTGTATAAAATATGTTCATGTAATAGTGCATTGAAGTTTACCTGTATAAAGCTTATGTGTAAAATAAGCATTTTGTATTGTGAAGCAAAACCTACATGTGTTTATGAATTACTTAACACTGGTTAATCAAGGGTTCTGTCTGTATTGCATGTAATTTTATATGGATATATAAGTTTTACATAGTTTACATACAATAAAAATAACAAGCCTGTTTAAGATAGACATCTTTGGAATTAATAAAGATAACAGTAATTTCAGTATATTATTAAACAACAGTTATACATATACATTTATGATATACTGTATCATTAAAAAGAAATGTAAATTTGTACTTATCATTATTTAGTTTTTATTAGCATGCATTATTATATTCCATTTTAATTTGCTGCTATATTAATATAGTATTTTAGTGTACTTTAGTCTTAATGTATGCAGTACTATTTGGTTTTTGCTTAAACTATGAAAAAATTCATCTCTTCTGATCTCAAGACACTTTGAAGCAGAGATATTTGCCAGAAGTATCTTATTCTTTGAAACAGTTAAGCATGGCTTAATCTACTACCAAGCCTTGTTTCCAACTTATATAAAAAGTTTTTTAATATAGTAAACTAATAAAAATACCTTTGCATATTACTTTTTTGAAATGAAATATACAGTTTCACCCTGCTAGATGTCCCATTTGAAGCTCAGGTTAAGAAGTGAAAAGGTCAGAATGTCCAATAATGCCTTTCATCCTTCTTTTTGTAATATATCAACAATTTTTTTTTCATTATTTAAGTTTTCAAAAATTAAAAAAAAATCCTTTTTAAAAGTTAATAAGTTGATACATAAAATTAATTACTCAGTGACTTCATGATGTTCTAATAGTGCTACAAGCTGTATAATTTGTAACAGTAAAGTGTACCATAACCTATGAACTTCATTTTTAGATTCAACTAAATTAAACAACAAACTTCAACCAAACTTTATCATACAGATCACTGGCTGAAAATTGTCTTTTTTTTAAGAACCTCATGATGCTAAAAAAACAATGTTATTAGGATGATGACAAAACCTTGTCGAAACATTGTACATTTGCTGTTATGTTAAACTTATATTAAAGTTTTTCTTCATTACCCATTCAAGCCATCTCCAGCCATTATTAATGTTATTAGGATATTGGAACATTAATATTTTTGACATCAAGTGTTTTGAGATACTTAACAGTACTAAGAAGTTGTATTTTATTTTACTTTTATTACTGTTACAGATAGTTTACGTGAAATAAGAGAGCTTTTTATTTTACAGATTTATGACATTTTTAAATTTTGTGTGCTACACACAAAAAGTTGCAAGTGCTTCATTTCAGTCTTACTCATTACATGTAAATTTGTTAACTGTTTTTGATATTTGAAAAAATCATATTATAATGTCAGGTATTCTTTAAAAAAATCTGTCATTTTCTTTGAATATATTATCAGTGAAATATTTGTGAACATTGATTGAGTCATAAATATATTTTTTTCATAGTTTCTTTGAGTTTAGGTTATAAGATTGAGATGAAAAACATCTGTTGTATTTATTCTGCAGCATTTTTTAAAATGAGTGAAATGTTATCTCAGAGTCATATATCATGTTAAATCATCTATGTGACTGAACATTTTATCCTAGTATTATGTCTGTTCTGAAAAAACTTTTCACTGCCTCACACCTGTGATCTATTTACCAAGTGTACAGTATCTTTAAACATTTAGTTACTTTTAGATATTGGCCAATACAGTGTTACTGTAATT